CCAATCATATTGAAGAACGGCAACCCAAAAAAACCAACAAAATACCCTTGCCAAGTTACACATAGTTTATTGCACGGGAGATAGCGTGCGTTTTAGTGCAACATCGAATCAGGTTCAATTATGGCTTGCAACTTCTGGAGATGTTCTCATTAGTAAATTAGTCCCTTTCTCATACCTTGGAAGCCTAGAATGGTTGCTCGACCGTCAAGATGTCCTCCGCCATCGGGCAGCGGACCTGAAAACCTTAGGTTCCGAGGAGGAATATCAAAAAGTAATGATATTCTTCTGTGGAGGTTGGCTCTTTAAATCTCTGATATACTCGCTTTAGTTATCCAGGCATTTGGTAAAGCAGTGGAAGTGAGACAACAAGTCATCGCCACAGCCATAGTGTACTTTCGACGTTTCTATAGCAGGTATGGAACTTTCACAACCTAATACTTTCAGGACTTCGATTAAGTCCATCGACCCTTGGCTTATGGCGCCAGCGTGTCTGTTCTTGGCCTCGAAAGTTGAGGTACTTTCTATTTCTAAAATTAAGTATAGTCCTAGGAATTTGGAGTCTTGTCTCAAAAGCTCTTGATGACAGCCTGCTCGAAAGTTGGTAGGTCTCTTCATTTTCACTTGGACTGTTGCCTTAGTTAGTAGCCAGTACTCTAAATACTTCAAGGATTATGGTTATCCATATCGGGCTCAGGATGTTTTCGAGTGTGAATTTATTCTCATGGAAGCAATGGTGAGTTTACGTCTCAGTTTCACAACCGTTTGCCTAATTAGTGTATTTTACAGTCTTAATTATTGTAGCGCTTCAAAAATTACCCTTGGTTAAAGTCATATCAAAAAATATTGGGGATCTATGTAGATATTTCCGGTCATTCACAGTTATCTTGTCAGACTCCCATGACTGTAGGTTTCGAGGTTCGTCTAACAGGGACTCGGTAGATATAACGTGCGAACTGCTTTTTTGTGTCATTCCAACCTCAGTTGTCATTTTTCCATTGGAAATTAATCAGGTTTCAATACACTTAAAAGGATTGCTACCTCATTCTAAATTTTCGCTTTCTGAGATATTGCCGACGAAAGTAAGGGAACATGGAATGACGTGTTCTGACTTACTTGCCGTCATCAACTACTATACCCCAACCTCGGACTAGGTGGCCTTGGAATTTAAACCGCGCTAAATTTATTTCCCAAGCCTTATGTCGTACTTGTTGAGCTGCGGGATTGCGCCCTGGCACTGAAGATTAGCAGTACTCAGAGCCATATGGAGGTAAAGTTCACTGATATACCCTGATGTCAGGACGGGCTACGGACGATCCGTTTTCCTTTGATCTCTAGTTTTGAGCTCTCACAGGCTGTCGCACAACGAGGGACAACTAATAGTCCAACATTGTCCACGTTTTGCTTACTTGCTGTCGCCAGCCCAAGACGCAAAGATATGAACTGCGGGCTGCATTCTGCAATGCGCAAAGTCGCA